CCTCCAAAGCACCGTACCGGAATGGTACCTGGTGCTCCCAGCAGGCACTGGTACGCCTGTACTTGGGTGTGCCGGATGTAACCCACCACTGAGTGGTTAGTATGCCAACTGATTGGTATGGTCTATCCTACTAAAACATATATTTTCCAGTCTGCTCTATATTGATGAACATAGTTCCTCTCCTCTCTTCTTCTTTGTTGATTGGTATATTCTATTGAAGCACATATTATTTTCTAGTCTGGCCTATGTTGATGAACATAGTTCCTCTCCTCTCTTCTTCTTTGTTTATTGGTATACCAGCTGATTGGTATATTCTGTTAAAGCACATATTATTTTCTAGTCTGGCCTATGTTGATGAACATAGTCCCTCCCCTATCTTCTTCTTTATCAGTCCAGGGTGGGTAAGGAAACGGAAATAAACCACTAAGGGACTTGCTAAAGGTGAATCAGATAGAGCATCCTATGACCAAAGTGGAGGAAGAGTTTGAAATATGGGAAGGAATTTTTAAACCAGCTGGTTCACAACAGAACAAAAGAGCTTAAGGCTGCTGAGTAGAAAATACCCCTGTTTATTAAGGCACCAGACAACATGGAGCCACCCAGTCAACATTTCTAAGAGTTGTGTCCTGGAATCACTACATCTCTAATGTGTCACTGTGGCCTGGAATCTAAGATACGTTTTCTTGAAGCCGATGTGTGAATTTGCCATTTGCCTAAATTAACATTTTCAGTATGTGTAACCCTTAAGTAAGTTCATGATATTGTTAATTATTTGATGCTTTCTTAATTGGTGGTGGGGGGACACTTTATCCCATGATTTACTAGCTGAATACCCATGCTTCGCTACGAAACTATGTGATCAGGCTTGATAAATCTACACTTACAGCTTGAAAATTAATGAGTAGTTACGATCGGCCTAACATGCAATAGCCACAGGTATTGTCAACTTGGCATTTTTTAATAAAGAAACTGCATATTCTGCAATATGTGACAATTCTTCTTAGTGCATTTTTGCCTCTGAGTGTCTTCCGATTTGAAAGTTGGATAATTTAATCCATTCAGTTGAATTTAATAACAGTACATTATAGAGCTGAGGAAGTTTCTATAATAGCTTCCCTTACGGAGTATGTTAAGCTTATGAGTTCACAAAAGATGGATGAATGCTACAAAGAGAGTTTTAAGGCAGATGAAAAGTTAAGCTGCCATATAAGTGACTTGATGTTAAATGAATTAACTGAGTCACCTATTCTATTTTCCTGTTGCAATAAATATTGAAAGGAATTGAAATAAAGGCAGGACCAACCCCCCAATCACTACGTAACTGGGATATAGCCATAAATTTATAAGGTTACAATTCTATAGGGTTATACTTGAATATATTTACATATTCTGGCTGTCCTTATTTTTGTTTTATTATGGTTTAGGTTTATTGGANGAACAGTGTAGTCTCACTGATTTCACCAAGCCTATCCTAAGCCTGGATCCAGTCCAATATGGATAGAGGTAGTCCGTGACCCACAGCCACAATTGAGCCCAAAATATCCAATGCTAAGCAAGGAAATTGAGTTTTGCCCCATTTTACGACCTTTCTTGCTAACAGTTGCTAAGTGAACCACTGCAGTTGTTAAGTTAGCAGGGCAGTTGTTAAGTGAATCTGGTTTCCCCGTGGACTTTGCTTGTCAGTGTTGTGACCGATGCTTCTCAAGAGCATGAAGCAAACTCCTTGCTCCAGCAAAAAACCCTTTTATTAATTTAGAGTGAATTCTGCTCAATCACAGCCAGCAAAGTCTTTCAAGGGAGGATTTACAGTCACAGACCTTATCTGGCTTGGAGAGAGGACAGGCTGATATCTGCAGAACTTGTTAAGGAGTCATGGAGAGTCACAAACGAATTAGCAAACTAATTGTCTCCTGCAAACTCCACTCCCCTTTCGCTCCTCTTTTATTTCCGCTGGGAAGGGCCATTCACCATCTGGCCTTACTCCCAAGTCGACCCCTATTTAGCTGTTCCCTTCATCTGGCAACTCTGTAAATGTGCATATTGGGAACAGGCTCCAGCTGTTCTTCTGCCCCACTGATCTCCGATTCTGAGGGCAGCTGATAACTGTTAGGTGGCCCTGGCCCTATCTCTGCCTCTGAAGCAGAGCACTTGTCTGAGGCTTCCTCAGACTCCAGGACTGGCCCATGTTCCTCCCCAACCTCCTCACTGTCTGAATCTGCTGCCAGCTCTCACTGCTGGCCGCTGGGGGGCTGCAACAATCAGAAGGTCGCAAAAGGTAATAAACATGATACCAAGATGCTGCAACTGTCATATGTACATGCCAATTGCCAAGCATCCTAATTTGGATCATGTGACCACAGGGATGCTGCAATGGCTGTGAGTGTGGAAAACGATCATAAGTATAACAGCATTTTCAGTGCTGTTATAAGTTTGAGTGGTCACTGAACGAATGTAATGTGCTCTACATGGGGCAGCCCTTGAAGAGCATTTGGAGACTTCAGCTCGTCCAGAATGCAGCCGCGCGAGCGATTGTGGGTGCACCTCGGTA